AAAAATAGGAACCACCTTTGGTGGGAAGGTAACAGCGTTCTGTGCACCTTCAGTGTTTAGTCATGTCAGTCACATGTCTGCCAAGATGTCTTTGGACAGTGCTGGCTCTTCGGCTTTGAAACGGAGATGAGCACCACCCCCTAGTCAGGAACGACTAGCACATATGTGGAAGGGAAACCTTTACCTTTAACTTATGTCAAATAATGTTATAGCATATATTTCTGCTTACACAAGTAGCTCTTGACTCACAACCATCCATTTAGGAACCATTTTACAATGACTATAATAAAGATCTATCACTATTGTACACTGAGAGTTTATGCACTGGAGACAAATTCTTTGTGTGTGTAATCACACTTGGCCAATAAAGAATTCTAAAATTTGAATGGCACTAAAAAAATGATTTATGACCAATGCACTCACTTAAAACGGTCACAGCATCTCCACAGTCATGTTATCAAAATTTGGGCACTTGGCAACAGATATTTATGATGCTCGCAGTGTCTTGGGATCCTGTGATTGCTGTTTGCAATCTTCCCAGAGCACTTCTGACAAGCAAAATAAATGGGAGAAGTTGCACTCATTTAACAACTATGGCAAAAAAAAAATCATAAATACAGGCATGACTCAATAACCACCTTGCTTAGCAATATAAATTCTGGTTCCAATTGTGGTCATATGTTGAGGACTATCCATTATAACCCCTAAATGCAGCTTATAAAGCTATAAGGTAAAGGTTCCCCTCGCACATATGTGCTAGTTCTTCCCGACTCTAGGGGGCGATGCTCATCTCTGTTTCAAAACCGGAGAGCCAGTGCTGTCCAAAGACGTCTCCATGGTCATGTGGCCGACATGACTAAACACCAAAGGTGCACGGAATGCTGTTTACCTTCTCACCAAAGGTGGTCCCTACTTTTCTATTTGCATTTTTTTATGTGCTTTCGAATTGCTAGGTTGCCAGAAGCGGGGCATTTGTGGCATTAGGGATTCGAACCACCGACCTACCGACCTTTCTGATCGACAAGCTCAGCGTCTTAGCCACTGAATAAATATGAAAACAATAAAATCAAAATCTATAGTTAAAAGGCTTAGCAAAAAGATTCTTTTTTTTATTCTTACTTAAACTCTAAAAGAAGAGAGGAGGCCAGAGAGACTTCCTTGGGGATAGCCTTTCACATATGATATATACATGCACAACCTAATGTTCTCAGGCAGTAAACGTTCTGTTCCTTGTCTGGACTTTGGCTATTCTGGATTGCTCCACAGCTACTTGCTGAACAACCAGAATCAGCATCGTTTGGAGGAGGAACAGAATATTTTGGGACGTTAGCCTTTGTACACATAATGACCTACTTTTCAAGCAAGTCAAAATATACTGTCAACCAGTGTGACTGTATTGTTAGATCTAATTCTAGAGAGACTATAGTTTCATCCCTCAGTCACAAATCTTGTTTAGCTCAGTTATTGCCTTTTAGCCTATCTCAAAGGAATGCAATGAAGATAACAACAGCCGCTGCGGTAGATTGTTTTCTAAACAAATTATGGTCCTAATATCTCACACACTCCTAATGCCACATGTTTCTGTTTGAACATTAAGGTCAACAGAAGAGGCCTTCTTAAAGATATCCCTCTGGCCTCATTTTCCAAGCTCCATTCTATCTTATTTCCAAACTGTAGAAAGCACTTCAAGGAAAATCACACCCAACTCCTGCTCTTTCCACTTTTATGAAAGGAATCCAGAACTTTCCCTTCAGATTTTTTAAAAAATAATTCTTGTAATTGTTTTTATGAGATTTTTAAGGTGTTCTGGCCTTTTGAGTGCTTTATGAGAGGAAATGTAAAATATAAATTGAGACAAATGGTAGGAGGAGGACACCAAATTGGCTTGAAAGAAGGACAGAATAAAACCATGCCCACACCAGCAGCATGAGGAAAAACTTCCCTTGAAATAATTTTACATATGTATCCAGGCAAGCATTCATTACACTCATGTTTGTTTTGCTGAGAGATGAAACTACACCAGATACTTTTAGATCACTCCTGAGGAAAGGCAGGAATATGACAGGGCAGACACACATAGCAGAGCTATTTAATTCAGAGTGTCTTGCTCTATGTCCTCCAGATTACTTGTAATCATGTATATGATAAACTTTCCTTCTTGCCATCCAGCACATATGGAGGACCTCCACTGCTGGCACTGCTAAGAGCATTCAGGCCAACTGAAGAAGACTTGAAACCTGGCTGCAGCCTGCAGTAAATTAGCTGTGCTCCACAAGATAGATTCAGTGACTCAAAATGGAGCCTAGGAGACATGGGACAATGTACTTTGCAGGCCAACACATCTCTTCACACAACCCAACAATCCAAGTTAGTATCAAATGGGTTCTCCTAAGCCATGAAGCTAAAATATATATTTCTGTACCCTTCAGGCTTCACTTGGGACAGTTGTGTGCATTAAACACACAGCAAGAGAGGCTAAAGGTTCAAAGGGCAAGGTACAAAGAAACACCCAACATAGAGCCACTGGAAACAGTAGCTAAGACTAGAAGCCACGGAAGGATTCCATCTCCTTTTTCAGCCATGTGCTCACAAGTGGCTTCTACTCCAATCCCTTTCTGAAATATGAGTGAAATGCCTTTAAGAATTCTGAGGATTCTTAAATTAACCTACATGAAATGGTTCTCATCACCTGAAAAAGTGATATCTAAATGTAATTTATTACATCTATAAATCTGATACAAATTATTGTGACTAGATAAATTCACAGACTTAAAATAGCTGTACTGTGTCTTTCAAAAAACAAAACCAATTTCAAATTTTATACTTCTATATATCAACCTATCAATGTGAGATCCTATCAGCTGAGACTTGGCTGTGAGCTGCGGCAGATAAATAATTGGGGCTTTTTGGCAGAAGATCCCCAATTCCAGAAAACCCATTCATCCAGAGTTTCATTTTGTTCCCAAAATGAAATTGCTCTCCATTATTATTAAGAAATTGCTTTTCATTTTTAAAAAAATGATATGACTTCATTTTTTCCCCTTTCAAACTCTAACACCCCAACAATTTGTTACTCTGCTTCCCTTCCATTGGCTTATTAGTGATAATAAAGTTACCCTATTAATTTTTTTTGCTGATTTGCAAGTCCTTTTTAACAGAAAAATAAAATATAAAGGCCAAAAGAGAGGGAGCAATGAATGAAAGGGACCATGCATAATCATGTATTCACTTCATTCCCAAACTGCTACCCTCTGTTCTGTCAAGCCTAATACCTTGGGATGTGCCTTCTCACTTCAACAGAGGCAAGTTTTGTCACAACTGTAACGGTAGGAAAGGAAAAGTGCTACTAGTGCAGAGTTAAGTGTTTATCCTGCTAAAGAATGTGATGAGAAGCTAGTGCCTTCAGGCATCTTACTAAGCCTTAACTCAATGTGGCTTTTCTTATTGTACAAGTCTATACTATTTCTTCTAAAACTATGTTTAAGCCAGTCAAGGTTTGTTTGGCACAATGTGTGAATCAGGTTGCTTTTCTGAACAGATCCAGTTAAAATACAGGTAGTTTTCGAATTATCACAGTTTGTTTAGTGACCTTTCAAAGTTACAACGGCACTGAAAAATCTGACTTAAGACCATTTTTCATAATTACAATCTATTTAGCATCCTCACGATCATGCAATCAAAATTCAGATGCTTGGCAACTGGTTCAAATTTATGACTGTTGCTATGTCCCAAGGTCATGTGATCACCTTTGGCGACCTTCTGACAAGCAAAGTCAATGGGGAAACAAGATTCACTTAACAACCAGGTTACTACTTAAGAACTGCAGTGATTCACTTAACAATTGTGGCATGTAAGGTCGTAAAATGGAACAAAACTCACTTAAATCTCTCACTTAACAACAAAACCTTTTGGGCTCAATTGTGATCATAAGTTGAGGACTACCTGTATAGTATAGTCCACTACACTCTTAATATTTATTGTGGACCTACATTCAGGCATCCAGGGGTTGGATTTTAACATGCCTGGGCCTTCTATCCAGATGCTGGCTGGCAGGTCCTGGGAATTAAAGTCTGACACATCTGGAGAACACCTGACTGGGGAAGGTTGACCTTTGTTAGAGAACTTTTTTTTAAAAAAAAAGCAGTGCATATCTACAGGCATAGGTCTCTCTCTACCTCTACGCAGTAATTGCCACAGTATTGTCCAAGCCTGGCTTTTCAAGTAAAGGTTTGGGATGAGCAGCCTACTGGGTTGATATTTGACATTTATATATTTATTGCAGGCTAATTGAAACAATTTATAGAAAAACAAGCTATAAATGCAAGCTTGTTGCACAGAGACATACCAGTAGCGTCACTAGGAAGGTTTCTCCCACCCGGTTGTTCCAGTTCGGTCAATGTGTTTCTGTCACCTTCGTCATCTTCATCTTCATGTTCGTTTTCTTGGCCTCCCGAAGCCTGAGGCAGGCCTCCCTGGGAGGCAGGCGTCCTGTGTGGGGCAGGTTCATCTGGAGCATAAGTAGGAAGGTAATTTTGGGAATAGGATCCTTGTGGGGGAGGTGGATGAGGGTTTGAGGGAGGGCGGGCAATATAGGTGAAAGCAGTGGTTTTATGAACCACTGCAATATCTTCGAGGTAGCGCTGAACAGCATCTGCTAGAGCCCCACTCCCATGCTGCACATAGCTGTAGTTGCCAGGGGGTGGTGCCCGGAAGGCTGTGAGCAAAACAATTTCGTTGCCTGTTTGACGCCGGTACTGTTCTGCTGCAGCCACCAGGGCTACCCAATTTTCTTTATGATTATCTGCCATATCTGTCATTCTGCAGGCAAACAAAACAAGAAGGACACTGAAGTTAAACCATTGCACAGTGGAACAGAACTCATCCATAGTTAAAAAGCTGAGCTGATGAAAATATTAAATATTCACAGGAAGAAAACAAACACCTGTTTCTAAGCGACACAAATACCGCACTGCAACAGGCATTCACATTCATACTGACTCTTTTTATTATTTTTAAAGACAGCTTCTGCCACTTATGGTGGTTTTTGCCCAGTCGAAAAGCAAAATACTTTGAGTCAATTTGCCTAACCAATTAATGTCACAGCCCAGGTTCAACCTGGGCCACTTTTAGGAGAGACCAGGAATGGCCAGAAGGCCAAGAAACTTGGTCTGTCTCAGAGAGGGAACCTGGTCTGTTTCAGAGAGGGAACCTGGTCTGTTTCAGAGAGGGAACCTGGTCTGTCTCAGAGAGGGAGTTCAGTTTAGCAGCGTAACCGGAGCCTGAATTGATAACACCTGGCACTGAGCAGGAGTTGAAAAGAAAAAGTTAAGAAGCCACCACGAACAGCCTGCATGGAAACCAAGAGAAGCCACAAGCACACCTGGAGGAGCCAAAGAAGCTGGAGCCCTCTGGGTTCTTGGACAGCAGCAGCCAGAGCAAGGGCTTGCAAAAGTCAAACAAACCACCATAGCGTGCAGGGCAGAAAGTGGGGTTCGGGATAAAGGCTGCTCTGGAAAGAGCATGCACCGGGTGTGGTGGTGGTGGTGGGATGCAAGGAAGGCTATGCAGGGGGGAAAGCCCCCTTTTTCAACAGGGCACAGCCAAAAAGGGGCACAGCCAAAGCAAAGGACACAGCCCAGAATAAAAGCAAAGGGGGGTAGGTGGACACATACCGACAGACAGACAGCACTGGAAGAAGAGAACACCCCCCACGGCACAAACCTTTCCTTTCTCTCCCCAGCACCCCCTCCCCTCCCCGAGCAGGGCTCCGAAAGGAAGCGGCGAGAGGGGAGGGTGACGCATATTACCTTCTCCTACCTCTTATTCCTTTCCCCCCCTTCTCCTCGCTTAAGCACCGGAGACCCGTCCCCTCCCAGCCCCCTTGGGGGTCCAGCAGCCGGAATCCTGACCTCTCACCTTTAACCCTTCCCAGGACACTTATGCCGCCCCCTCCTCCTCCTCCTCCTCTTCTAAACAACAACCGCCACCTCCCCTTACCCACCCCCAAGGCTCCGCCTCCTCCGACCGCCCTTATAAGACATGAGAGCAGCGCCCACACGCTGCCCTTTTCAAAGATGGAGGGCGGGGAACAAAGGAGGGCGTCGCGGGGGTGGGGAGGAGTCGAGAACGTCCATTGGTTTTCTTTTACCCTACCCAAAGATGGCATCGCAAGGGTGAGCGATTTCTCAGACGCATGCGTGGTGGTTGTTTATGGGAACCCAGTTCACATTAAATATTAAATTCATTCGATTATTTATGTTTAAATTCTGAGGGCTTACCAAAATCCGAATGGCGGCGAGGAGATACCTATCATTCTAGAGATAGCATATTAAAAGAGAGTGGGGAAAAAGCTACATGTGACTATGAACTTAGTAGGAAACCCGCCGAACTTCTATAAGGAAGAGGCGAGAGAGTATCTCAAGGTACCCACGTGAAAGTTGAAGAACCTCAAGTTTAAAAGAATCTCTGTTTAAAACATGGCAAATTCTCGGAGAATCCGCCCGCGATTTAAACCATATCTGCCAGGAGTCACTAGCGGGTTGCTACAGGCAGGATGACTAAAACCCTCCACGTCCCTAAAGCAAAATGTTGCTATGCTGCAGATATTCTACAGAACAGCAGATGGCAGCAAAGAGAGGCAGAAGCTTCTAAGCCAGCGTTTATCAATCTTGGCTACTTGAGGATTTGTGGACTTCAACTCCCAGAATGCCACACAATTTAAAATAGTTAAGGTTGATAAAACGTGCTCTAAGCTATTTGCTGCCATCGCCTGGTCAGACCTGGAAGTCTGGAGTCTCTGAGATCCCTCACTTCACCATGCTTGCTATAATTTTTCTACTGTATTATTGATATTATTCTGATTTATTTGCTTGGTTGTGTGAGCTGTCCATAATCCCTGGAGCTGGGAGGCATTTCTTAGGGTACATTGTACAGCCAGCCAGATGTTTAGACTGGATTTGGCATTTTTATCTAGCTCTTCGCTAGGACCTAAGATAGGTGTGTCTTGTTTGATGGTGCTTAGCAGAAAAGATTGTATGTATGTATGATGTATGTATGTATGTATGTATGTATGTATGTATGTATGTATGTATGTATGTATGTATCAACTTCTAAGTATTGTATGAACACCCCAGCCAACATGGCCACTTTGCTATGAATTCTGGGAGTTGAAGTCTCAGGAAGCATCCCACTCGGAAACTGCTCTAAAGTTTGTAAGTTATTTGTTTATTGATAGAACCCCCCCCCCCCATATATATAAAGATGGGGAAAGGATTCACTTTCTTTCTGCTGCAAGATTAATTTTATATATTATTTCATTCAATAAAATTCCCTCACTCTTCCCGCACCAAGAGAGGGATCCCTTGGTAATAATTGCAAGAAACTTTAGATGAGCTTCAAATATTTAATGGACATAATTTTCTTGGTAATAATTTATTGCCATTAATCCCCCGCCCCCGATATCCAGTATTGATATTGTTTAAAAGTCTCCCAACCATATTATAATTAATCCTGGACTATATAATTATATAATATATAATTCATCCAGCTTAGTTTCCGAGGCCAAAATCATCCAGATGTTTCCACGTGCCAGCCTCCCTAGTTAAATCATAAAATATGTTTTCTGTTTCATGCCTCATTAAGTTATCCGAATGTGTAAACATTGCTTAATCGGTGCATAATTATTTAACATTACTTGCACGCTGGCGAGAATGTCATGTTTAAAGATCTAGTCATTTTGACCTTTCCAAAGATGTCGCCAAAAGCTTCACCTGGGTGTCCAAACAAGACATCCAACCGTTCCAGCTTGAGTTTTTTCCCCCCCACGCCAGAAACAATGATGGCGGCTTCACGAAACATTAAAAGCAGAGAAAACTGCTTCTATGAAAAGGGCGGGGTCGATCGGAGCAGGAAATGACGTATTTGTTTTTCAGGAAGTAGCTGTCAGGCAGAATGGAGTTAGGGGGCTGCAGGGTAAGAGAGGCCTTTTATCCTCCAGGGTGATCCTCCTTGGGCTCCCTAGAGCAAAAATGGGCTCTCAAAGGAAAGAGGGTTGAGGGTTTTTTCCCCAGCATGAGCCGAAAATGATTTCCCGGGAGCCGACGGCCGGCTGTGTCATTCCGTATGGAAACTGGTTTGGCAGAAATGGGGAAATGTGCTTTCTTCCGCCCTGGAAGTTACAGGGAGGCGTACATTGAGAATCCTCCTCCTGGTAGTATGTAGAAGTTGGTTACCAGCGTTATGGTTATGTAAAATGGGTTTCTTTCCCCTTTTGTTTTGGACTTGTTTGGAGGCTTTGACAATAAACCTTTAAAGAAGTTTGGATCTTGTTACTTGAGCTGCACATTGGGGGGTGGGGGAACTGGAGGAGTGGGATACTGGTCCTTTTCTTGCCCCTTCCATTTCTTTTCTTCTGACTTTTTTCAGATTGCTTTTGAGAAAGATGGGGTCTATTTACACACCAGTGCAAAGCGGCATCCTGACCAGGATTCCCTCATACCTGGAGTTATCCGCATCATTGAGAAGGTGGGTCAAGATAGATTGTCCATTGGGTTGAAGCAGGAGGCTATGTGGTCGTGGTGAGAAAATCTGGGTGTTGGAGTATTGTATTGGTTACATTTGGGGGGGCGGGGAATCCTGTTCAGTCTTATTTACCATTAAATGAATGAGCCAAACAGGCTCAAGATTTTTTTTCCCCTCTCTTGCTTTTTGGATGCTGGAGGAAGAATTTGAGGTTTTTGTAGCTTTGTAATATTGTCTAATTGTGACATTATGGTTAAAGATAATTAGCATTAATTTGAACAAAACTGGTCAGAATAGCAGAAGCTTTGTATTTGAGTCCAAGAGTTTCTACAGTTTGTTTATAATACAAGGTGTCCTCATTAAATGACCACAATTGGGACTGGCAACTCCGCCGTTAAGCAAAGTGTTACTTAAGCTAAGTAAACATCGCAATGTTTATGATCTTACTTCAGTTTTTCTTTGCTTTGCAGACCTGAGAAAGCTGTAAATGTGTGGTCTGGTTGTAAAGTTACTTTTTTTATCATTATTGTAATTGCAATAACTAAATGAGGCAGTTGTTAAATGAGGACTATCTGTATGCTAGCTTAATGCATGTGCAAAAGTAGTAGTTTATGTAGTACATAAACATTTTAAATATTTCAGAAGAAAATTTAAGTTTCCCATAGTTTATGATTTAAGAAGTGCATTAGGCAGGTTGTGATGATATTTTAGATAACAAAGTGGGGAATGAGTAGTATTTCATCAGCTGCTTTTCAAGAAGGAAACATGTGAAATTCAGTACTCATTTGATCACTTAAATTTCAAAATTTAAAAACCAATTCTTGGGATGAGGGATTTTGTTGGAATATTTTATTGTAATGTTGCTTCCTTTTTATTCAGGGTTCAGATACTTTACTACAATGGACCCCTGTGGACGACTCTTCAGATACTGCTCAAATCATGTACACTAAAAAGGTAAGGCTTTCTGCTGATTTAATCATCAACCTATATGTATTAAATTCTGTGGTATATTTGCTCTCTATATTTTGGCAGAAGCAAAAATACATTTCTTTAGATTAGTAGTTTTCTTGTTTAATCAAGTTGCTTGTTCTTTGCAGAGTAATATGCTAAGGTATCCTTGTAGTTTATATACAAGTTAAAAAAACCTTCAGTCTCTTGAAGAAAATAGTTACAAGAATAAAGAACAATGCTAGAGTTTCAATTGTACATGTCTTAAATTCTCCTAGCATTATTGTACAGGTAGTCCTTGAGTTATGACTGTAACGGAGCCTGCCCATCATGGTTGTAACTTGTGAGAGTTGTAAAATGGGTCAGTCACACAAAATTCATGATTTTACAACCTTTTTCCAGCAGTCATTAAGCAAATCAATAGTTTGCTATGGATGCAATTTGGAACAGGACCTAAAGGAGCATTGCCTTAAAGACACTATGAGGGACGTATTTAAAAACATTGAAATGTCCTCTAATCTTGTTTTCTCTTTACTAGGATACCATTGGCTCCCAAGCTGAGGAAGAACATTTTGATCCAGGATATGAACCAGATTGGGCCGTAATCAGTACAGTGGGGACAAGGTCTCGGGTTCAGGAGGAAACAGCTGGTGAATTGAAAAAGGAAGCACTAGTTTCCTTTTATGAATTTCAGTATTGTATATTTAGGTTTACTGATGAAGTTGCAATAAGGAATGGAACATGGGGATGAAAAAAAGAGAGTAGCTAGAAATTGTGGGGTTTTGTTTCCTTTGCCTTTGTTACTATGCTTTTCCTGTGTTTCCCCTACCAGTTTCTGGGTCAAAATCTCCAGTCCCTCGTGGTCAGTGGGCCTTCTCTCTCAGCTTGTCTGAGCTGAAATCCATCCGTAAGAGTAAACCAGGCCTCGGCTGGTCGTACCTCATCTTCATCACCAAAGAAGGCATTTCCATTCAAGCTCTGCATTTCCACCGTGGAGGCACGAAGGCCCTTCTCAAAGCTCTTTGCAAATATGTTATATTAGCCACGTGAGTGAGATTACATCACAACCTCTGTTACATTAAAGAAATAAGATGCAGTCATTCCATCTAGTTTAAACTTGTTGCGTGGAATAGGGGAATATTTTCTAATGTTGTCTTCTGAAAGCGAATTTTGAAAGCCTTTGTTAGATATTCCAAGGCTGTAGATTAATTTAGGAAGTGAGGGGAAAAAATATCCAGGAGGAAAGCAGTAGTAAATCATCTTTACATTGTTAGCAAGGAAATTATTTGAATTTGTCCCTGAAGTTACTGGGAGTCAAGGTCGACATTATTCTTTGTCTCATTAGATGCTTTGAGCAAATTGCTGGCTAAGTTTCAAGTAAGGCCCAGATATCTAGCAACAGCAAGAGAAATCTGGTTAACCTGGTTTGTTCGAGATTTCTTTTAGTTATCTGATGGGCATCATTAAGTTGCCATGTTTTGGTAACTATGCTTTCTTCACAATTGAATAAGAAGTAGTCTTAGATTGTACAGA